GTTTAAAGTATTACCTAAAGCACCAACTTCCAGAACTCTCAACCCCATCCTGTCTTCCCCATCCTCACTGTCAGGATATTTTAATCCTTTATTATTTCCCACTTGTTGTGATGCAATAGTCTCCCCTAAGTGATCTCCCCATGTCCACCTCTACCTTGCTCCAACTCATTCTTTGTGCCTGTGGCTAGAGTGACTTATCTCAAAAAAAACAAATCCAATCTGATCATGTCACTGAACAGTTTATCCTTCAGCGTTCTCTATCCACCAGCCCCTCAGCTGCTTTTTCATTATGTTTACCACCATTTCACAAGCTTTATTACTTGTCCACTGTCTCTACTCCAACTAGAGTATAAGTTCTATAAGGGCACAGTTTTGTTCACTGCTGTACAGTACATACATGAAAAACTGGACTGATGACCTACAAGCCAAAGTCCTCAAGGCCTGCCATTGCCTTCCTTTTTTCACTTTACTCCTCTCTCTCCAACAATGTCTGTCCAGCCACCTAAACACAACATGCACTTCCATACCTCCTTTGCTTTGCCATATGGTGGCCCCTTTTCCCACCATCTGATCAACCCACCAAAATATCCACAATATTATTTAAACCTCCTTCAGGAAACTTCTCAAGGCTGGAGAGATGGCTCAGCAGTTAAGACCACTGACTGCTCTTGCAGAGGCCCCTGGTTCAGTGCTCAGCTCCCACATGGCAGCTAACAGACAACCGTAACTCCGGTTCCAGGGGATTTGATGCCTTCCTCTGGCCTCTGTGGGCACTGCATGCATGTAGTACACGGTACACTTACATACATACAGGCAAAACACTCATACACATAAGTAAAAATAAGTTTAAAAAAAAAAGAAAACTTCTAACACCATAGAATATATCACTTTCATTCCTTTGTGCTCCGCTTGTACCTTCATCTACAGTGACTCTAATTAAACTACTGGAATTTGTAATCTCCCTTTCTAGATTGTGAGTTCTTTGAGACTAAGCATTTATCTCTTTATCTCCTACTGAGCACAGTCCTTGTCATAAAGCAACTTATCTGAAAATATTCACTGAATCAATACATGCATGACTATTCCCCAAGAGGAATGAAAGTATAGAAATTATAACCAATACCACTATCCAAAGTAATGAAAGAGAACACATCACACAAATCACCAAAAGATTCCAAAACCACTGACATACAGTTGTAATCACACCTTACTCTGGTTCCTCCTTGCTCCAAACCTTTAGGCTCAGTTCTGTTGCTGTAGATGTTGAGACCTAGCTAAGCAGCAAGAAATGGAAAGCAAGCCTAGGTTTCTCAGTGAACAACAATCAAGGTAGAAAGATCATTCTCTGATAAAGTTTTTGATGTTTCATCTAATAAAAGCTTTTGTGTTTCACTTAACACAAGTTAGTGTTGTGCTTTGTGTTGATCGAAATACAAGTATTTTGATTAAACTTCAAAGTAGTTCTACAGGTCTAGATGTTACTACTACCTTCCTAACCCTGAACCAAAGACTAGAGCTGCCCACCAGTTACACCCTATGCCATAAACGGGCTGCAGTTGTGCCCAGGCTACTGACTTGAAGGTATGCAAGGGCCCCCTGAGAGCAGTTACCATAAGCTCTAAGAAACCTTATCCATTACCCCAGAACATTATTGTTTTCTCTAAATGCTGACGGCAAAAGCTTCAGTACAAAGTAAGTGCTGAAGACAGCACAAACTTAAGTGCTTGAAGAAATGGAGAAATCACGCAGGTACTGACCTGGAAGCCTCATCCCTGCTGGCTAGCTTTCATAGTACCGCAGGAAAAAAGTAATCATCAGTCTTACCCAGCTGTGAGCCCTGCCAGCTACAATAACTACTGGTCTGGCAAGATATGCCCATTATTGCAATAGTGACATGAATGTTACACAGGAGCACCCAACTACCCTCTGACTGGATCTAAAGCCTGATCCATGAGACAGAACCCATGCCTGGTACTGTTATCAGGGATAAGAGCCTGTGGCTGGATAGATCATGGGTCCTAGGCGAGAACCTTCTACTAATAATCTACTAAATGGACATAGTATTAAAATGACTCCTAATAACTTATTGCTATACCCACAGATTAGTGCATCTCTCGACTCTCATTGAAGAAGTTTCTTCTTACAGTAGAAAGTAATTAATACAGAGACCCACAACTGGCCAACATGCAAAGAATAAAAGACTACAGAGTGCTCAACCCTAAATGAGACACCTATATTGCATCCCCAAATCCCAGAAGCTCAGGGATCTTCAAAGAAGAGAGGGTAAAAGATTTTAAGAATCAGGGGTGGTGGATGACTACAAGGAAACAGTGTTTTCCAGAGAGCGAGGCAGCAGTACAAATGAACTCACAGCAATTATGCCAGCATTCACAAGCAAGACCTGATCAAGTTCAAGCCAGACAAATCCCACTATGGAGGGGGAAGGTGAACACAAACTTCTACCCCAATGTGAGGAGCTATTAGCATGTGGTAGTTATTGGGAGAGGAAGAGTCGGTTTTAAGGGTGTGACCCCTTGTAGGTAAACCACAATCCAAGGCTGGTTCCACAATCAAGAGTAATTGAGCAACACAAATTGGACTAGATGAAGTGACAGAAAAAAATAAATTAAAAAAAAAACACCACAAAGCTGAGTGGGTAGGGAGGTGGGGATGGATCTGGGAGAAGTTGAAGGGAGGAATAAGATCAAAATAAACTGTATGAAACAATTAATAAAAATATTTTCTTAAAAAAGTTTAATCAGGCTGGCTGGAGAGATGGCTCAGCAGTCAAGAACACTGGGTGTTGTTGCAGAAGACCCGGGTTCGATTCCCAGCGCCCACATGGCAGCTGACGACTGTCCATAACGCCAATTCCAGGGGATCTTGGGCGGGCATTGCACAACATGGGTGCACTTACCTATGTGCAGGCGATATGTGCATATACATAAAAATAATAAATATTTTTTTTAATTTAAAAAAAAAATTTAAAAAAAAAGTTTAATCACAGAGTCAGGCATGGTGGTGCATACCTTTAACCCCAGTACTAGGAGGCAGAGACAGGCAGGTCTCTATGAGATTGAGGCCAGCCTGGTCTACATAGAGAGTTCCAGGTCAGCTGTTGGGGTGGGGGGCCTACAGGAAGACCCTGTCTTAAAGGGAAACACACACACACACAAAGTTCAAGCACACACAGATGTGTGTAAATGAGAAGACATTCATGAATATGAAGCCATTTTGGAAAATGAAAAATCATAAACCCCATGACAGCTAATAGTACATCAATGAAGACAGGATAGACATGCTCCTTCATTTCTCTCTCCTACCACCAAATAATCAAATTCTGGAAAACGTACCTCCCATATTTTTCAATGGTATGTCTTAGTTCAGAATCCCAGCATTCACTATTCATTGAGCTAACAGATTCATAACCAGTGTCTGTTTTGGGGCACAATAAAAATGAAAGCTACTATTTATTGAGAACTTATGTATCAAGCAGTACACCAAGCACTTGATCTTTTAAATCTGCATTTTTCCATTCTCAAACCAAAAATGCAAAGCAAGTGCATCATCTTCTTAAAAAGAGGGGACCAAAGTTCTGAGAAACGCTAACTTGTTCAAAATCTTACAAGTAAAATAGTCCAGTGGAATTCAAACCTAGGTCTAATCTTTAATTCCACCCCAATGTGGTCTTTCTAATGTTCTGCCCCACATAATACCCTGCAAACAAGTTTCACTTTTCAAGCCTTCATGAGCCATCATTCTCTTAACTCCCAGCAGTTCCCTAATCTCTCACTCTTTACCTATGACCATTCTGTTTGTCCACCATGAACATTGCTCCCCTTTGGCCACCTATTTTCAATATAAACTTCAAGATTTACACAGACAATCCTTACTCAAGGCAAGCCTTTGTCCTCAAAACTACACTAAGTGACTGTGTGTTTCAATTATCAGCTAAATTTTTTATCACACTATATTACAACTTTAGTGCCCTATAGCAAAAAGTGAAATTTTAGAATATTTGCATTACGTATATAGTAAGGACTTACACACGTTGAATTAATGAAGCTGTCTAAACTGAAGTCAATTTGATGCACTTTAGAAGTCTAACCTGCTACAAAGACACTTGCTAAGCCTGCAGCAGACTTCTTAATCTCTGGTTTTCAAATTTCTTCATCTGGGAGAATACTCCGCCTACCTAATAGCTTAGGACAGAGAACATGAAATAATGGACTCAGCACCATTTCTGGCATTTTGAAAGTACTCATTAACGTCAGCACCACATTTTTTCACTCTGGAAGTTTTTCCAAGATGATAATCTCAAAAAATACCATCTCCCAATAACTTACATCAGAGATTTAGATCTACTCCAAAAGTCGGAGGTTAACATTTTACAAATATTCCTCATCCACAAGCCCGTCTTCAAGCTTTCTACAAAGCTAAGTAGCTAGAATATCACACTCTAAGTCACTAACTAGCGTTTGCAGTATATTGCTTCTTACTCAAATTCACTCACTGGTTTCCTCCCTCAAAGTTAAAAACCTTGCCCCTCAGGAAGCGGAAGTCTACCCTTCAAGAAACCAGTCATCGCCTCTTCCGAGAGCGTTAGTGGTCCCCACCCCACTTCATCTTCGCACGCCGGCTTTCGAGAATTAGCAGAAATCCCTGATTATCTAGTGCAAACTTAAACCTCTTCGGAGGCGTTTAAGAGAGCCCCTGCCACCCATTCCAATATCTTTTAGGATAGAGAATGAGTTTCAGGCATCATTTTTTGATCAAGAGGTCAACAACTGTACTACCTCCATGGAGACCAAACCTACCACCCCATCCCGCGCCTTTCTGACAGTCCTGGGTCTGGTCCACTCTGCCAGGAGGTGATGGTACTTGCAGGGACCAGATGCCTTCCGCCCACCATGTCAAGTCCTCGCCACTCCCGTGGCCTTCCGCAGCCCAGGCCCGCCGAGGCCTCCCTCCACACGGTACTTCCCCGGCCCGCTACTCACCGCTTCTTGGGGATGGTGCCCGACTCGGGAGCGGCGGGGGTGGCGGCGGGCGACGCTGCGGCCGTCGACGCAGCTCTCCGCGCTTTGCACTCATTGGTACTCGGAGCCTCCGGGGGCCAGCCCAGCAGATGGCCTGACAGAACCCGCAGACGCCGGCGCGCGCGGTCCGCGTCCGGCTCCCGCTCGCCCGCGCCCATCTCGCCCGCTGCGGCCGCTGCCTCCGCCATGGTTTCCGCCTTGTGCAGCCGCCTGAGGCCGCTGAGCGCGGGTGAAAGGTCACTCAGAGCAGCGCCTAGCGCTACCATTCGCTGCGGCGCATCCCGGCAGCCACCGCGGCGACTGCCGGTGGGGTCCTGCCAGGAGCTTCACGGGCTCTGGCCCCACCCACCGTGCCCTCGGCCCCGCCCACCCGCCGAGCCTTGGCCAGACGCACCTGCTAAGCAGGTAAGTGAGTCCTAGAGAAGCTGAGTTTGGCCGGGCAGGGCTGGGCCTGAGCCAAACCGCCAGCGCCCCAGGGGCCAAGCTCGAGGGTGTGACATCCTGGGTGTGGCCTGAGCCCCTGCAGGCGTTTTAGGGAACAAATGCCCGTAGCCTAAGGAGTGGTCCCTTCCTGAGTTCCTTCTGGACTATTTCTGCTTTCCCCTGCAGGGCCAAATCCCAACCGGTATCTCTATCACTTTTTCCTTTCTCTTTACCTACTGTGCTCAATGCTAGATTTCAAATAAGCTTCATTTTACTGATGAAGAAACAGGCTCTGCAGCATAAACTAGTCTAAGAACGCACTAGCTTAAATGCTAAAACCGAGTTGCAACTCAACTCGGTTTCCATTAGTTGCTGGATTGGAGGCAAACTTTTTATTGTTGCAGATAAAATTACCCAAGAGTTGGTCTTAAGAGTTCTTGATGATAAACAAGTACGTCATGTCTAGAGAATGGTACTTAGTAAATTACAGGGATTTCAAAGAGACAGTTTTAACCATTTTCACCTGTGTCTTAAGTAACTTAAAAGGTCCCACCTACAGTGGTCATTGTCACAATCTGTGGTGTCAATACCTTCAAGTTTTGCCTTCTTAGTGTTATGGGAAAATTAGAGACCAGCAGCCAAAGTCAGGTGAGGAGAGGGATTTAATTTTACACTAGCGGATTGACCCACGGATCCTTCCATAAAGGAGTCAGTACCCCCTTCCAGTTTTAGGGGTTTTTATGTTCATGTGAGGAAGTACAAGTAAAAGAACAGCACATAGGTGGAGATTAAGTAAAAGGTACATGTGATAATTAAGCAAGGTAACATATGGCCACAGGTATTACAAAGACTTCCCTCAGGGTCGACCATAGAAGGCAGGCAGGAAGCAGAAAGACTCCAGCTGATCTCCCCAGTCTATCTCTTGTCTAGGAGCTCTTCCTGCTCCAAAGTTCTTAATTACCATCACATTGCAAAAGCTTTCCACCTCCACAATACTAGCAAAAAGAAAAATACTAGTAAAGGAATCTTAAGAGTGCCTTATACCTAAAACTAGATGCTGACAACGGGCCTCTGGGGTCTTCCCAACTTCAGAGACAAAATTTACACTCAACTTCCAAAGAGACCAATTGGTTAAAAAGTATGGATTACATGCTAGGCAAATTGCTGTTGGAGAACTAACCCCAGTGTGAACCTTTGTTAACATTTTTATCCCATTTATTAGTGTGTGTGTGTGTGTGTGTGTGTGTATGTCAGAGGACAACGTGTAGTAATCTGTTCTCCTTCCATCATGTGGGTCCTGCTGATGGAACTCAAGTTGCTCAGTGAGCCATCTCATCCACCCTGCGGAGATGGTTTCTATATTTGAAAAGGTGTCTTTTGGAGGGGAAAAAAAGATAATATTCAACAGAGACTTCATGTGGTTCCATGGGATAAATATTACTTGGCTTTTACAGCTTTTATACATCTGAGACTCAAGTATAAAGAGATGCCAAGCCATAATGAAAACAAACCGATGAATACCAATAGAAAAGTTGTTAAATTATATCTGTATGATATTTTCACAGCTATTAATTTGGTGTATAGGTTGGAGATGGTAGCAAATGCCTTTAATCTCAGCACTTGAGAGCACTTGTTCCAGGCCAGCTGGGGCTACAGGGAGACCCTGTCTCAAGAAAATAAATAATCATGGTAATAATAATTTGGTGTAACTTTGGGATCATAGGAAGTGATTATGAATTTGCCTAACATAAAAGAGCTATAACTTAGCCATTTACTTGATTATTATGTGTTATCTCAAATGCGTTCTTCATGCTACTACACTTATTCCTGTTATATGCTGGTCTCCTGAATTTAAAAGGTACTATAGTAGTAAAAGATTTATATATAAAAATTAAAATAACAAAATATTTCCAGGATAAAAGGGATAATGAAATTCATTTTAAATAAACTTATTAAACATTTGAACAGGTTTATGGAGATACAGAGTTGTTAATTTTCAGTCCACTCCTGGCTTGTACTACACACTGAGTTGGAGATTTAGATTAAATGGGTACTAACAAGTATTGGGTTACCATGAGTACTGAAAGATGTCTTTTATGTTTCTCTGTATTATGTAAATGTTACTTTTGGCACTTCCTTTTACCCATAACAAGAATGATTTGACTCAAGAAAAACTAGGTCTGCCTCCTTGAACCAGATGTATGCAATCTAGAAGAAAACAGTTTCGGTGAAGCTTGGTCTGAATTCTGATTAAGTTTATTCCCTGTCTGTAGGTATGTGATATGATGCCTCCTTTCCTTCAGAAAACTGTAAATTGAGGTATGGGAAACTGGAAAAAAAAAGGGACCGATAGGTATGTGATATAATGCCTCCCTTCCTTCCGAAAACTGTAAATCAGGGTATGGGAAACTAGAAAGAAAAGGAGACTGCTTCTGTTTGTAATAAAACAGCCTTCACTTGAGACAGACTTAAGAAATTCTTGTTTTAAGGCCCCTTTCCTGGCCTGTGCCTAGTTAACCTGTGATGGTAAATCTCTTCCAGTCAATGTTTATTGAGAATGTTTGGGTTTTGTTCAAGCTTTATCTATATATTACACAGTAATTAAAGGTACCAGGCTGGTGCAACTGACCTTCTTGGATGGTTAATAACCATACTTAAAGGCCCATACTAATATGGACAAAGGGGCTTGAGGGACAGTTTTGTTCCTTGCCCTGGAAGATGGACAATGTCCCAAGGGACTATGGGAATCTCTTGATATGTCCTGTAACTGTGGCGAGTCACCTGTCCTCTTGTTCAGGGAGGCCATGGAGACCCCAGAAGATGTACTTGAACCGGTGTCCAGTCTGCAAAGAGGAGGGTCAACACAGGAAACATTTCCTCCATGCTTCCAAGCGAAGCCCCAGTCAAGCAGAACCTCTTGACTTACCTTCATGTAGATGGAACTGGTAAAAGAAAAGCCTAAGGAGCCAGGGGGCTCTCCCCCAAGCCCAGGTGACCCCTAAGGACCAGCTCCTCAACCGACCTTAAAATAAAAGTAAACTGGTTTATTTGGGTCAACTGTATGGCCTTAAACACCCAAAAGGAAAGTATAACCAAAAATTAATCTGTATATTTCTTTAAGAGTCCAAAGGATTGCATTTCCCAGACATTAGACTTAAGTCCAGGTAAAATGTTATTTAGACAATTATTTCTCAGTAATGATTTTGTTCTTAACAAGAAAATGCTGCTCAGGTGTAAGACTTCAATTCTTGGTCTCCAATACTGTAGTGTCCACCTGCAGCTACTATTGTTCTAAAATGATGGCTAAATGTATTTTCTCTCCCTATGTAGAAGACTGATTCTAGCCACTCCAACAGCTATCAAAATGCCTGAAAGCAAATCCTGAGTCCATCACTCTCGAGTCCAGCCTTGGCAGACAAAAGAAAAATTAGGAGAAACCTAATAGAGGGATGGTTTTGAATGCTCTCGTCAAGAAATTCCAATGGACATTTGAAATTTTCCCTGTTGTGACTTTTTTTTCTGGTTCCCTAACACTTGTAATGCTAACTATTCTTGCCTTGTTAGGGTCCGAGACTCCGTGGGCTTCCCAGGAAAACAATATGTACAAGCATGGAGATGTAATTCAAGCAAAGCCTTTACTAAGCCAGCTAGCTGGGGTCGTCCGTCCTCCCAAGACACACAGGCCTGGTTAGAGCAATCGACCCTGAAGCAACTTCAGGCAAAGTTTATATAGGATTTTCACAGCCGTTGTACCAGAGCCCACGCATTTTCACACAACCAATAGCTTTAAAATACCTAACCTATAGATTTAAGCTAATTCATGTGTGTCACCCTCTGGGTGGTACGTGTCAGTTTCCTGATTTCTGTAATCTCTTATTTACACAAGCATTTCTGACTGCTTTCTGTTATCTCTCACATGCCTACCCATGACTTATCACAGGTCACGCCCTGGGGCGGCAGCCCACATCCCGTTATCTATCTCCAGGCACCCTTATGTCTCAGTCTAGCCTTCCCAGAATTGAGTGGCTCTTGCCCAGGAAGTTATAAGCAATGAAGTAATTAAACTCAAGTACTATTAAACTCTCTCTCTCTTTAATCTTTGATTCCCTCTGTGTTTTTCCCTTACAAAGGCAGCTGCCAAGATTACCAGCTTGCCTGCCCTGAGGACTTTTCTTTACACTTCTAATAAAATTTTAACATCTAAAGTCTTGTACCAAGGACTTTGCTTTCTAGACTTTACTTTTAAAATCTCCTGTCTCCTCCCAGTTAGAGCAGCATTCCCTAAATTGGCTCAGAGTGTGCTGTCCCTGGCCAGCTAAATAGATTCAGCTGATTTGGAACTTTTTAAGTCTGAGTGGTCCTTCCCAGTGGTCCCAAACTCTGTAACAGTAGGAATGCTTCTTTCTTCCTCTTCTGAAATATCTTATGAACTAGCCTCCT